CATTGTAGTATAATCCGTCAGCTTAACCTGCCATTGCTGTCTGGTGGGGACTGTATTCTTTCCATCTCTGGGCCATTAACATCCGAGCAGCTGTGGTCGCATACATAGTCTTTTCTGCTCTGTTAGGATTTTGGCACCTAGAATTCCTAAAAGAAAAGCTTCAGGTTGTTTTTTTGTTTTTTGTTTTTAGAAAAGGTTACCTTAAACATTTTTTTTCAATTCATTATATATCATTTCCCAAAATTCTTTTACTACCTTACATGTCCATCACATATGATAAAAGATGCCTTCTTTTTCCTTACATTTCCAACATATATTTGACCCTGTTTTATACATTTTTGCTAGTTTACCAAGGGTACACCATTTTCATATAGTTTTCTTTCAAACTGTAACATGCTATAACATAACTTCTCCCATGCTGTAAGTAGTACACTATACCCAAAGTCTCTTGCCCAATGTGTCATTACTGATTTGACCTGTTCATCTTTTGTTTGCCATTCTAGCATTAGTTTATACATTTTTGAGAGTAATTATGTTTTGTTCTTTAACAGCTCTTTTTCAAATTTAGAGGCTTCATTAAAAAAAACTATTCTTGTCCATCTTAAATATATCATTTAATTGATGGTATTGTAACCAGTCAGTTAATAATTCTCTTATATCCTCAAACCTCTTCAATTTTGATCAGTGTTCTACTTCCATCAACAGCTCTTTATACGTTGCGCAGTCATATCTCATATTCAGTTTTTGTTTTTTAGATATCGCCTCTAGTGGGGAGAGCCACCATGGTGTTTTTTGTTCTAGTAGATTTTTATATTTCCCCCAAACTTTGTAAAACGATTTTCTTACTACATGATTTAAGAAAGCTCTATGTACTTTAACCATCTCATACTACAAATATGCATGCAAACCATATCTATTAGCATGATCTTCAAGGTCTAAAACATCAGTGTTTTTTTAATAATATCCATTCCCTTAGCAAGCATAGACAGGATGCGTCATAATATAATCTTAGATCTGGTAGGAGAATCCGCCTCTGTCCTTAGAATCTACCAGCAATTTATATTTTATTCTTGCCTTCTTCTCCTGCCAGACAAATCTAGTAATATCTTTTTGCCATTCTCTGCATTGCTGATCAAGGGTATTGATTGAAATAAAAATAACATTTTGGGTACTACATTCATTTTAATTACTGATATCCTTCCGAATAATAAGTTCACCCTTCTCCACACCTCTAAGTTTTTCTTTATTTGTCTCTAGGCTTTTGTATAAAAGGTAAACATAAAGGGACCCCTGACCATTAGGTCCACTTGTGACCAACTCTGGGGTTGTGGCGCTCATCTCACTTTATTATAGTTATCCTTAAAAATATTCATATTCTTAGCTGTTATCCATACTAAATATTTACTTTTCTTTTCAATTCTCAATTCTGTTGTCTTTTTTATATTGCTCAGTCACATTTTTCACCAATACTTACATTTTACTTTTATTTAATTTAAACCTGCTATTTCTCCAGACTTGAGAATCTGATCCAAGACCCTTGGTATACTAGCCATAGGGTTTGCTAAAGTTACCACAAGGTCATCTGCAAATGCCTTAAGTATATATGCTTTGTAACCTGCTTTTATCCCTTTTATTTCCCTGATCTTATACTTCTAGCCAAGGTCTCTACAACTAAAATAAACAATAATGGTGACAGGGGGTATCCCTGTCTCATCCCCTTCGTTATTTTGCATTTTTCTGTTATTACAATATTTACTATCAGCATAGCCTGTTGGTTGGAATAAATTGTGTCAATTCCTCTAAGGAATGACTCTTCGAAGTTCTTCTTCATAAAAGTCCATGAAACATTGTCAAAGGCCTTCTCTGCCACTTGCTTGTCATTTCTGACCTCCAGATATTCTATTCTATCAATTACATTCCTTATATTATCCTTCATCTGGCAGCCTGGTAAAAAACTGGCCTAGTCTTATGTTTATTCACAGATGAGTAAATGAGTAAAGTAAATCTGTTCTAAAAATATCTATAAGCCTTCTCTTTTGTTATAACAGAATAATGTATTTGCTTTGTAGGATTTGCTGGCACATCTCATTAGGACAGAAAGAACTTGGCAGAAGACCAAGGGATTCCCTAGGATCACTTGTTGGCTTCCTGAGAGCAAAGATGAGCAAAACTTTAATTAGTATGTGTGTAAAGATTGCAACAGTGTTGTTTTCCTCCAGTGATCCAGCAAATGAATCCAACTTGTCTTTCAAGACCATGAAATGCACACCCATTGCCCAACAGTTCTTCATACAATGTTCCAAGATCTGCGAGGTGTTAAGTCATTGGCCAAGGTGTTGGAATTGCTTCTTGACATCACATCTGAGGAGAGCATCGAGAGCTGTTGGGCAACGCTGATGAAGTCGCCGTCAGTGCTGAGCAATTTGTGTCCTTTCACTTTCAGAGCATCCAGGCTGCATATTGGTGACGTTCCTTGTTTTCTCCTGCTCCAGAGGATGGGTCCCAAACAGATGGTTTCAAGATATAAGAAAAGAGATTCTGACTCATTTGGGTATCTGAATGTAAGAGGAATCCCACAGGATCTGGCCAAAAGCCCTCTAGTTAGTCCACCAAGGCTAAGCAGCTGCCTCTTCTGTGAAGCCCACCAGTATTTCATTCAGCGAACCACCCTGTGATCTTATGATGAACAGCGGCATATAAATTTAATTAATAAAATAATAAAGTAAAGATTGGCGCGCAAGAGCAACTCTCTCCTTCTGCTCGCCTAACAACTCTGAAGCCTACGTTGTAAAAGGCCTGGGCATTGGTAGAATTAAAACAGTGTGCGAGGGGAAAACTTCTCATGGCTGAATACAATTTTAATTTTGTTGTTGTTGTTGTTTAGTCGTGTCCGACTCTTCATGACCCCATGGACCAGAGCATGCCAGGCACTTCTGTCTTCCACTGCCTCCCGCAGTTTGGTCAAACTCATGCTGGTAGCTTCGAGAACACTCCCACCATCCTGTCCTCTGTCGTCCCCTTCTCCTTGTGCCCTCCATCTTTCCCAACATCAGGGTCTTTTCCAGGGAGTCTTCTCTTCTCATGAGGTGGCCAAAGTATTGGAGCTTCAGTTTCACGATCTGTCCTTCCAGTGAGCACTCAGGGCTGATTGCCTTCAGAATGGAGAGGTTTTATCTTCTTGCAGTCCACGGGACTCTCAAGAGTCTCCTCCAGCACCAGAATTCAAAAACATCAATTCTTCAGCGATCAGCCTTCTTTATGGTCCAGCTCTCACTTCCATACATATTTTAATTTTAGGAGGCTTCAATTAATAAGCAGATGAGAATTACAGCAGGGTTCTTTACCTTTGCCCAAGAAATCAACATCTCCCAAAACCATGGAGTGCACCCCCAGTGCCCAACAGTTCTGCCATTCCTTCTCAATTCCTGCTTTATTTCAATCTCATTTACCTTTTTTGGGCCCACGTAGTAAAAAAAAAAGCAGTCATTTATTTCACACTTTGGCTGAGCAAGGAGTCCCTATGGCATGCGTTCCTCAAAAAAGAGGTTTCTTTCTTTCGTTTTTAAAAAACCCACATGTGGGTATTTATTTCTTCTTCTTAAGAAAATGTATTTGACACTTGATGGCAATAAAACCTGTAAGCGGCTTGCTAGAAATGATAGAACAATTTAAAGCATTTGAATTAAACAGCAACATTTAAATTGAAACAGTGAAACCAGCAGAAACATCCAAAGGCCTAAACATGCATGCAATGGCAATGTGAAAGTCCAAACGTTATTTGGAAAATTCAAAGGTGTCCCTGCGAGTGCCCCTCACTCCAGCTACCCTGGCAAGGAAGCGCCTTGCAATGCGGTCGAAATGGTACAGCAGAAAATTTTTAGTGCCAGAGCGCTTCTGGCTGATGTATTGGCAAGGGAAGCCCTTCTGATTCTTAGTTGCATTTGTTGTTCAGTCATTTAGTCGTGTCCCATGGACCAGAGCACTCCAGGCACTTCTGTCTTCCACTGCCTCCCGCAGTTTGGTCAAACTCATGCTAGTAGCTTCGAGAACACTATCCAACCATCTCGTCCTCTGTCGTCCCCTTCTCCTTGTGCCCTCCATCTTTCCCAACATCAGGGTCTTTTCCAGGGAGTCTTCTGTTCTCATGAGGTGGCCAAAATATTGGAGTCTCAGCTTCAGGATCTGTCCTTCCAGTGAGCACTCAGGACTGATTTCCTTCAGAATGGATAAGTTTGTTCTTCTTGCAGTCCTCCTTCAGCACCATAATTCAAAAGCATCAATTCTTCGGCGATCAGCCTTCTTTGTTTTATAGTTTATAGTTTCATTTAGACACCGCTTTTTTCCCTCCAAGGATCTCATGATGGCAGTCATGGGTCTCACCCTCCCCATTGAATCCAACCACCCTGGAGAACACTCTTTGAAAAACAGCCACCGCCTTGGCCAATTCATTTCCGGGCCCTATTCGATGTGGTCACCTGAGGGGTTCACTTAGCTCCCCAAAATATCTGGGGGAAAACTGGCTCTCTCCCCACAACTTAAGCATTCAACCTGCCCATTTTGGGACTCTCCTTCCTGGGAGGTTTTGAAGAGAGGCTGGACGGCCATCTGCCCCGGATGCTTTCGCTGAGACTCTTGCATTGCGGGGGTCAGACTAGATGACCCCGCGGGACCCCATTCCAGGATTCTATTTCACGTCTTTCCTTTTTACTCTGTTTAAACTGATGGCTCTGTTGTGAAATGGAGCAATCCTACCAAACTTGCATTTTTCACACCTGCCATTTCAACCCTGATCCTCCCTGGCAGGGAGCCAGGGAAGATTTCCTCCCTGTCACCCCCAAAGTGACGTTCTTCCGGGCTCTTCCCTGAAGGGGGTTTTTTTGGAGGGGGCTTATCCCCTTCCACGAAGCTGAAGCACCCGGGACTGGCACCCTTCCCTGCGAAGAGAGAGGAGAGCTCAGAAGTGCCAGGGAGGCAGCACTTGCTGAGAGCACTTGCCTCTCCTAAGATGGCGCCTTCGGGCTCAGGCCATTTCCGCTTCCGGCTGCCGTTTGTGCCTCTTCTAAGATGGCGTCCTCGGGCCCAGCATGGCGCCAGCACCATTTCCGCTTCTGGCCGCCCTTTGTGCCTCTTCTAAGATGGCGCCCTCGGGCCCAGCATGGCGCTAGCACCATTTCCGCTTCCGGCTGCCCTTTTGCCTCTCCTAAGATGGCGCCCCCGGGCCCAGCATGGCGCCAGCACCATTTCCGCTTCTGGCCGCCCTTTGTGCCTCTTCTAAGATGGCGCCCTCGGGCCCAGCATGGCGCCAGCACCATTCCCGCTTCCGGCTGCCCTTTTGCCTCTCCTAAGATGGCGCCTTTGGGCCCAACATGGCGGCAGCACCATTTCCGCTTCCGGTCGCCCTTTGTGCCTCTCCTAAGATGGCGCCCTCGGGCCCAACATGGCGGCAGCGCAGTTTCCGCTTCCGCCTGTTCTTTCTGCCTCTCCTAAGATGGCGCCGGCCAGCCTCTTTCGCCCATCCCAAAGCTGGAGAGTCACTAGCGCAGGAGCTGCCTCGGTGGAAGAGCTCCCGTTCTTCCCGCATCTCATCTCCAGAAAAGGACCTGGCGAGGATGTTGCTAGAATGATGGGTCAGGGTCATCTAGTTCAGGCATCCCCAACCTTTGGCCCTCCAGATGTTTTGGACTACAATTCCCATCATCCCTGACCACTGGTCCTGTTAGCTAGGGATCATGGGAGTTGTAGTCCCAAAACATCTGGAGGGTCACAGGTTGGAGATGCCTGATCTAGTTCAACAGCATCTTTTGCCCAAGGCGGGGTGCAGAAACTATAGACATCAGCAGTGCTTTTTTCCCCTAAAAAAAATGTTTAGGGATATGAGTCATTTTGACTCAAGAAAATCACCATTTTATAGTTCAAATCGGGAAAAGTAAATACAGTAAGTGGGCAAAAGTACAAAGATTCACAAAATGTTTAGGCGTATGCGTACCCCCAGAAAAAAGGCACTGGGCATCAGGCATGTTTCTTGGCTCCAAGGAACTTGGCCTTTTATCCAGATCTGATATGCTATTTCTTTTCTTTTTTTTAAAAAAAGGATGGTGATCTGTCGTGGAACAGAAGTCCCCAAAGCAGGGGCCGGCCACTGCAGAGACGTACAAACATAGATGCACACAGATGTAAACTCTCTCTCTCTCTCTCACACACACACACACAAATACGCACACACATTTTTTTTTTAAAAAAATGCTTTTTATTAATTTTCACAAAGGAGAATAAAGAAAAACATAAGATACAAATTATAAAAACAAAAAACGAAACAAAAAGAGAAATAAAGCAATCTTTTAAAATAAAAAAACAAATACACACACACATATACCTGGTACGGAAATAGGAACACACACAGAGACACACCTACATATATACAGGCCAATACATAGATATATACACACTGATATGGACTCACCCATAGATAGATAGATAGATAGATAGATAGATAGGTAGCTACTCCTCTTTCCCTTCCCTACTTGTTCCCATGGAGAAGGGCCCGTTTTCATGCCTTCGGGGCCATTGCCGCAGAATCACCTGTGCCCTTTTTTTGGGGGGTGGGGTCTTCACCTGGGCTGCTGACCACACCGCCTGCCCAGAATCCAATGCATTCCCTCTGCCCTCCCTCGGGAAAAGGGGGTCCCTGTCCATGGCTTCCTTGGTCCCCATTCGGCAGAGATCCTTGCGCAGGTCTCAGCTACTCCTTGATGTAGCCTCCAATGCCAGAGGCACTTTATCTGCACTCCTTGCCGAAGCAGCCTATCCAACGTCCTCACGTCTCCTCTTGAGCCCAAAGGGTGGTGCAAAGGCCATCTAATGTGGTTTGTGGGCTCCCAGAGCATGTCCCAACTAATAAATCTGGGCTTTTCTTGATGATCGTTTGAAAATTATATATATATATCTTTTCTGGTTGCTTCATGATTGTTTGTAAATTTGAAATCCAATTACATAAATTTATATAAAATAAATAAATTTGGGCTTTTCAGGACAGGGCCTGGATTGCAGAACTGCCTGCCCACATGGGGGTGAACGGGGCACCCTCAAGGGAAGGAGAATGGGGGGGGGGAGACACAGTAATAATTGAAAATAATTTTATTATTTGTACTGGGTTGCCTCATCCCCCTATGGGCAGCTTCCAAGTTCTAACAAATCTAAAAGCCTAATAAAACAAAGACCAGAAATATCCCTGTACAGGGCTTCTTTTTCTGGGGGTTGGATCCTGGCTCGTCTTGTCTCAGGTGCACTTTTCTTTCTTTCTGGCTATCTCAGTAATATTGTTGTCGTCGCTGGTTTGTTTGTTTGTTGTTGTTTTTATTGTTGATGTTGCTGCATCAACCTGTTGTTATCAAACACTTTTTAGTGCTATTTCCTATCACTTCCTTTAAAGACTGGTGAGAAATTCAGTTCGGTCCACATTTAAAGGTGAACCTATCTAAATGGTACTTCCTGAAACAATACAGTAAAGGAAATGCAACTGTCCTTCAAAAATCACACTTTCTGAATTGTTCAATGCAGTACTCCATGTGTGCAAAAAAATGCCTCTACTGTCCATTATTGAATCTAAAATACAAAAATGCATTTTATTTTGGGAAATGTCTTTTATCGTTTTTCATATTGTAATTTTATGTTGTAGACTGCCCTGAGATCTGTGGATGAAGGACAGTAAAGGTAAAGGTAAAGAGACCCCTGACCGTTAGGTCCAGTCGTGGACGACTCTGGGGATGTGGCGCTCATCTCGCTTTATTGGCCGAGGGAGCCGGCGTACAGCTTCCGGGTCATGTGGCCAGCATGACTAAGCCACTTCTGGAGAACCAGAGCAGCGCACGGAAACGCCGTTTACCTTCTCGCCGGAGTGGTACCTATTTATCTACTTGCACTTTGACGTGCTTTCGAACTGCTAGGTGGGCAGGAGCAGGGACTGAGCAACAGGCGCTCAGCCCGTCACAAGGATTCGAGCCCTAGGCTCTGTGGTGTAACCCACAGCGCCACCTGCGTCCCATATTATGAGGTACTTGAACTGAAATGCTGGTGAATTGTTATGAAACTCAAAAGAAACTCAAAAGATGTGGAAATGTGGAGAGTTTTGTCTGGTTCATGCTCCCCAAAAGTGTTGTGGTTGATGGGGCAATGTGAAGAAATGGAAATTGTTTGTGCACAGGTATCAGTTAAGTTCTTATGATTCTAAGATGATATTAAAATCTCTGATATATTTCAAGTCAGGTAGACTGCATCATCCAGTTTCCAAACGTGGTTGTAGCCAGGATTTTTGTTGGGCGTGGGCAGGAATTACTTAATCGGGGGGGGGGGGGGGGCTGCTGCCCCCATAGTTACACTCATTTTTACAAAGATTGTCTTAATCTACAATGATGAAAATCTTCATTATCGTTTTCTTTTGAAGACTATAGAAAGTTCTTACGAGAGCAGCACTTCTGCTTATAAATGCTATGCTTAAAAAAAGATACTATTTTTTTGCCTCAAGATGGCAAACTTTAGCCAGTCTTGGGAACTCAAGTTAGGATTTTTCAAGTGTTTCAGCTCCTTTTCATTTAATTTTGAGAGCCTGGAAAGAAAATAGCAGAGGGGCATCTCTTTTCAATGGCTCTTTGTAAATTTACATTTGCGGTCATTTGCTAAATGAAAATGAGAGCCAAGACTTTTTCATTCTTCATATAGCGCACTGTGTATGTTGTAGATATAATTGATCTATACAAGTGAACTGGATATTGGCAGGTGGGCAATCACAGATTGTGAGCAATTTCTTTCTTCCCTTTGGAAATCAATACCTATCCCCAACACTGGAAAGCATGAGGGCATTCCTTTGTTCTCCCTCTTAAACATTTAAACTTTTCAAACTACAGGAAATGGTTAGTAACACAGAGACTGTTGTGTCAGAATTTAAGTTTTTAAGCGCCTTAGATTCGAAAGCCATTCTAATAAGTGTGCAGATAATTCACTACATCTTCCTTAAAAAATGACTACTGCTCCCTCAACAATACACCACATGTTCTTGTCATATTTAGCTGAGTGGGTGGAGCAACATCTATCAATTTTATATTTGTGCAGTGTATGTGGTGTTAGGGAGGGGGTAGAACCACCAGTGCGTTTTTCTCCTTCTGGGGTAGTGTGCTGGTCCTGGGGGCTAACCGAGAGGCGAAGTCCAAGTCCAGTCCAAGGTCGAGGGTCTGGTATGGAGGCTGTCCATCAAAGGCGAGGCGGGGTCCAAGGCAGGGAGTCAGGTGGGGTCAGGAACTCTGGCAGAAGAGCAGGACAAGGTGCAGGCAGGAACAGGCTAGCAACAACGTGGCTCCTGCAACCTGGGACTGGGGCTGACTGGCTTTTATCTGCCCTGAGGCATAGGGTGGCCCCAGTCCACAGGTGACTCGCGTCTCCTGGTCTGGAGGCGAGCACTCCTCCTGCAGGAACTTAGTTCCCTCCGCCTCTCTGCCCTGAGCCTCTGCAGCTCAGGAGAAGCTGGAGGGTTACTGGACCCAGAGGCACCCTCAGCTTCCCCTGATGGGGCTGAGAGTGGAGCACCTGCAGGCAATGGGTCCTCTATCACCTCAGGGGCCAGAGCAGACTCAGCTGGTGCCTGCACCTAAGGATCCAGCAGAGGTGAGGACCCTTCAGGCTCAAGCCCCAGCCCCGGCTCAGCTGGTTCTGGAGGCGGGGACTCCTGTGCAGGCTGGGATTCCTCAGGTTCAGCCTCTGAGTCGGAATCCCAGGCCATCACAGGTAGTTTGCCTGCCTTTGGTCCCTACCCTGCTCTCAGCTCTCACCTGTGGCTCTTAGAAGCTGTCAGCATGTGACAGCGGCCACACCCTGGAAAATGGCTTCAACTGGCTGGCTCAAACTGGTGAGAGTATGGGCCTCTAATCCCCAGTGAGTTTGGGACTTCCTATGATGGGGCTCACAGAATGAGAATCCCTCAGAAAAATAATCTCTCAAAGGACCTGTTGATGGTATTTTACCATTGTACTGTTGAGAGTGTATTAACTTATGGTCTGTGTGTGTGGTTTGGGAGCTGCACGGTCAGGGAAAAAACAGTGCTGTCCAGGGTTGTAAAGACTGTGGAGAAAATAATTGGGTGCACTCTTCCTACCTTGGATCAAATCTATGCTTCCAGGTGCCATAAGAAAGCTGCAGAGATAGTGTAGGATAGTGTGCACCAAGGAAATGATCTCTTTCAGCTTCTGCCTTCTGGAAGAAGGAACAAGGTTATAAAGATTAGGACTAGCCGCCTGAGAAACAGTTTCTATCCAAATGCGAATTT